GGATTATTATCCTGATAAATTACATGCCAAGGCATTTTAGCTAGGTCTCCAAGAAAACAATCAGCATGAAAGTGCTTATAGTTTCTGACTTCTTTCACAATTGGTTTAGATTTTGCCACGGTAAATTTCCTAACCGCATATATCAGACTGTGGTCAGACAACCCCAGATCTATAACACCACATGCGGACATATTTTCTTTAGTATTAGTTAAGACTAAATCAATCAAGGTCGCTGAGGTATCAGTTACCCTAGTGGGTTTATTTATCAATTGATCAAATTGATAAAGGGAACATAGAAAAATAAGTTGTTGTGTATGTGCGTCTGGCGGAGCTTTGGAAACATCGCAGTTGATATCGCCAATTAGTATAAATTCTTTATTCTCAGACTCACATTTTTGAAAGAAAGTCTCACAGTCATTAAATAAATTCATATTTGAATTTGGAGGTCTATACCATGTACAAACCAAGAACGACTTACTAAATGAGCGATGGATCGTGATTTAGGAGAATTTTTTATAAAGTTTGGACATGGATCGTGATTTAAGAGAATTTTTTATAAAGTTTGGACATGCAAATGTTCACAATTGTATATATTTACAATTGTATATATTTGTCATTTCTTTAACTGTATTGAGTTATTGATATTTTCCTGACATATTTATGTAAATATAATATATTATAATATCTGCTATGTAAATGTCACACAGTAATCAGTGTAACAAGCTGTTTGAAAAATGTATATATGTGTGCAGCGTAAAGATTGGGTATTATATCATATGTATTTGAAGGCTTAGGGAAGGTTATAATTTCGTTCTACATTTATATACAGTGGAATAGTAATGTAAGTTAGCCTTTTAGTAAGTAAAACGGGGATTAATTTCATTATATATAAAAAAACAAGTCAGCACAATTTAAAGTATGAAAAATAACAGCAAGTGAATGTCATGTAATAGCCCCCACCCCCTAATAATATTTTAATTCAATGGCAGTGTTAGGGCAGTTATATATAGAAGCACCAAAACTAAGGCGCTTTTTTGCAATATTTCCAAACGTTTCACGCGAAAGACGGCGAATAGCCTCCTATCATACATATGTATTGAATGCTGATTAAATTAAATTCCATTGCTAAAAATTCAAACAGATGAAACATATTCACTTCATAGATCTAAGGCTGGTATACTTTAATTTAGGGTATTATAATTAGTTGCGGTAGTAATCATGTGTTTATAAAATGCTCCGCGGTCCGCCGTCCGCGGTACGCTGTCCACGGTACGCCGTCCGCCTTTTATCCGTCCGCTTTTTATCTACACCCGTCAATAACGTTTGGTGAAGTATAGGTTTTTAAAACACCATTGCTGATTACTGCGCACAGTGTCAGTGCGGCACTGTCCGGTGATTCCATACGGAAAGTAAATGGAACAAGCATATTTCGACTGCCCAACCGGAACTTTTCCGGAATGAACGGTTTGTTTGAAAAGGTTGTCCTCTCTTACCGTTTGGAACGTTTCAACCGGTGAATTTTGTTCCATTTACATCTTTTTTATTTTTTCACCAGTTCCAGGCTCTTCTCGATTTAACAATTGCAATTATAAAAAACTTCAGTGCCTTCCGGTCAGTCACTCTAAATGGAAAGCGCATAATCCGAATGTGATTTTCTATCCGAAATTTTGCTTACCATTAGCACAATTTCAAACCGGATGGGTTTTCCATGTAAATGGTAAACAACCAAGTGCTCAGCCCATGAATGGTTTCATAAAAACAGTTTAAAAATGATGAAATACTAGTACGTTTTCACTGTCAAACGACAAAGACAATAGGCACCTGGAACATAATGTCCGGAAATTTTGTCCGGCGCACCGGAAAAGTTGCCAGACAAAGCGTCCGTCAACTGAAAATGTCTATTTCAAGGCTTGGATGTGCGATTTTGTGCTCCAGCAAATTGGTGTCATTAGACTCAGACACGGTAGACACCTTTACTTTTTATCTTGTTCTATAATTAAACTATTTTATTATCTGTATCATTATTTTGTTCTGGAACAAGTCGTTGAACGGGTTGGGAAAAAATGCGGAACCAGAATGCGGATTCCGTAAACGGATTCCGAGGATAAAATTCCGTAAGCGGATTCTGCAAGTGAGGATAAAATGCGGAATTGAAGCAGAATAAGGACGAGAAGCATAATAAGGTAAATCAAGTTTGGTCACAACATTAAATAAATGCCACTGTCTCAACCACTGAAAAAATTACCAGGCAAAATTTACCCTTTATTAATTTTAACTGCATTCAAACGAATTACAAGTAATCCAAATAAGTGCGCTTATGGTGGTCTTTCCAATATCCAGTATACAATTTTTTGCAAAAATAAAGAAATGCAGTCTTCGCATGTTTCTCACTGAATAACATCTGTATATTTTTAAACACAAAAATATAATTATACAAAAACCGGTTCAAAAGCAGGCCTTGAAATATCGGTTGGTCACAGACATTGTCTGACCCATTCATGAAATTGTCCGACGTAGAGAGAAAACCACCGGACGTTCTGTCCAACCTACGTGAAACTGAGGTTTATTGTTTGTTCAACCGGAGTGAATTGGTGTCCGATCCAACTGTAGCTTTGTCTAACGTAAATCAAAATAAACCCTAGTCCAGGACTAGAGGCTCGTCGAGCGTGGGGCGGCGAGCGAAGTAGTGAAATGGAAAACAGGTTTAAGTTGTCGAATTCTTACTACTGTTATTGGCAAGCAAGTTAATTTTGGCTTGGAAACTGATAAGTATGAATGACACAAATTATTTAATATCTTCACAACATATACCGTTCATAATTAATACACTGTGCAGATTGTGTAATACACTGTGCAGATTGTGTAATACACTGTGCAGATTGTGTCATTCAGACTTATTTCGGAGCTAAACTGAACTGAACTGAAGGTCATTGGACATCATCATCCATATGTCCAACTCAAACTCATCGGACATTTTGTCAGACGACCATGTAAATTATATTTTAAGGCTTAATGCAAAAGGTCTAAGAAGTGTGCAAATTAAATATTACATGCACAGTTACTAAATATATTAATTTGCACACAGACTGGTCACCCAAGATATCTTGGGTCAGTTTCAGGCAGGATATCCCTTAGGCAGGCCAGCTTGGTTCCCATATAAATGCAAAATGAAATTTAATAGGAAATAATAACAAAGACGGGATGTCGCCTAAACCGGGCCAGCTCAGGTACCCAGGCTGGCTCACCCCATATAAACAGCCCCTTAGGATACAATAGTAATAATACTGTGTGACAATACAACTAGAAATACATGCATGTAGTAACCCCTCGCCAATACTTTCCAAACATTAAATTGACATGAAGTATTCAGAAATGGCCAACACTGAACGCAGGCTCGTGCTCAAGTGTTGCCATGACAACACGATATCTTAAATTTTTAATTTTTTCATATTTTTGTACAAAACTGCAAAATAGTTGAACGATTCGTACTTTTAACTATACAACAATAAATTTCCGAAATATACACTGTAGGTATATTATTTTGCATTTTGTGAGCTTTGATTTAAATTAATGTAAAATTTAAGTTAACTTGAAACGCTTCGTGAAATTTTTGAAATGTTCATTCAACTCCAGGGTGAATCTCTCAATGGTTCTGCGCTGAAGATTTTTCGAATTCATGTAAAGCTGGTTTTCGAGAATTTTCGAAATTTTCACCGAATTTTCGAAATTTGGCTTTTCATTCCTCTCAAATCATAATTTCAAATATATTAATATATATAAAATGCGCAAAATTCCGAGGTTGGAAAACGAAAAATGCCTCAATTGCTTCACCAGATCTCTGCCAAATTGCTGTGCCAAATGGATCTTTAGGGCCATTCTGCGCCAAATTGCTGCGCCAAATTTTGTTTGAGTCGCTGTTCTGCGGCGAAGATCTTTCGGAAATACACCCTCAAATTCACCCTGGATTCAACTAAACTGCATTTGCCGATAAACTGTTTTACACACAAAACAAATTGTTAGGTAATTTTAGTTCAGTCTTCAAATCAATTTGTTCAAATTAAACGGTAATTTATGAAACTTAGAGCTTCGTTGAAAAGGAAAACAGTTAATGTTTTTAGGCAAAGCAACAAAATTCAAAGCAAACTTGCCGTATATTTCACGATTTCCCATAGTAAATCAATTCTTCTCATTTCTTCAAACAAAATTGCTTCAAGCTTGTTGTATATGAAACGATTTTCCAAATATATGTCTTAAAATTGAAATCTTGCTTATCCCACTCCTACAAGCAATCAGCCATATTTTTGAGATCAGTGAGGATGACCACCCACTCAAGTTCGTTGGTCACACTCGCGATATTTGATGAACTTTAGACTTCGCTAATGCTTTCGTTTTCCCGGGTGTAAATAGCCAGGGGAATTAGTACCCTCGCACGGCGCTTCACGCCGTCGGCTCGGGGATGATGTAAGCATTAGAGGTGTGAACGATCGATGTAAGCATTAGAACCAAAATATTCATTTCGGATTGGATCGGATTGATAAAGTAATATTGTCTCGTAGTCGGATCGGATTTCGATATCCGAAATAAAATGAATTAATTATCCACGCATTATCGCAGGAATTAATTATCCATGTACCATCATCGCGGTTGTCCCTGCATTATTCGTTTGATACTTCAATTGGACGTCACTTTGTCAGCTTCTTGACATACAATGTTAATTGTGTTCAAGAACATATGATAATCACGAGTATTGCCCAACATTTTATTCTTCGGATAGGATTGGAATTCTTTTTCAAAACTCGGATCGGATTAGACAATTTCGGATCGGATTTTAAACATTAGGCAATTGTCAGATTATAAACGTCCAATCCGATCCGATGCACACCTCTAGTAAGCATCTGAATAGCAACGTTAGATGAGCATTTTTCATAATTGTGCATTTTTCAGCATTTAATGCATTTTTAATCGCTGGGCTGCCTAAAGTATAAATTCAAATTCAACTTACATTACAATGAGTCTTGGTAGCAGCTTCAAAGTTGGATACCACAGACAGAATAACACAACAAAAAAAAGCAAAGAGGGCAAAGAGCAATGGTATCCGTAGAATATGCTGTAGTTTAATTTCCAATAATCGCATGATATTAACTTTTTATGCAAAATAATTAATTAAACAATAAAATTCATCAATTTTAAAATATCTCTGAATTTAATATATAGTACATCTCATAAAATTTCAATAATATCAATGTCCTGTGAGCCCGCAAACACTATGGTCAACAGCATAGATATGGTCAACAGTGATGGTAATTCCAATTTAGTATGGTCTAGCGCTTTCACAAGATAAAAAATGGCGGATTCTGCGCTCCCATGTGCGCTCGTAAGTTTTTATTGGCAGCATTGCTATTAGTAGTCTAAGTATATTTTGTATGTTTGTGGAGTTATATTGGTGATTTGTCAATTTGATTCGTTCATATACCTTATTCATGATCATTCGTAATTATTAATTACAGTAATTATATCACTTGTTATGTATCGATCAATTCGAAACTTCACCATCCCCCCCCCCCGGGCCGACCCCGGGAATTTGAACTTTTTGAAATTTGGCTGATCAAATTCTCCACCCCCTGTGCAAAAAATGTCTTCAAATGCCCCACTGTAACAAGAAATTAAGCGTTCAAATGCCCCACCTTCATATGAAAATTATGGCAGTAAATACAAAAAGTACAACATATACGGAAATGTTTTTCGCAAGATAGCGAAATTCACGTAAAAAGTTTGGATACCTTGTGGAAATTTAACAGTTTTACACAATTATGTAGTACATACCTTCAAATGAAGCACGTAGATTTTCCATGCCCGTTTCTTTGAGCCAGTTTTTCACAAAATTGAGGCCGTTTCCCTCGAAATCTGAGAAAACTGTATTTGCCGCCAATGCGAAGTATTTTCTGTGCATGCAGGAAGCATGCGAAAACGGGCAAAATTTTAAGACTTCCGGTTCAAATTCCCCACCCCGTTATCAAATGCCCCACCACGTTATCAAATGCCCCACCACATGGAAGACGTAGAACGTCAAATTCCCTACTCCCTGGAGAAGACTTGAAGTCAAATTCCCGGGGTATGCCCGGGGGGGGATGGTGAAGTTTCGAATTGATCGATACATTATCTAAAGACGTGACAGACGTCACTGGTGTCAGTCCGTCACTCCAAGCCCTCGATGTTTCCCGACTCTCAGCAGTATGGCTCCAGCTGGACCAGCAGTGTCTAGTGTACTACAAAAGAACAGTACAACTACTTCTATTAGTGTAGTCATTGTAGTATAAATAAATGAGGTTGAATGGCTGGTTGACAAAGGCTATAGAATATAGAATACCCTCGCCAGTCGCCACGATTTCGGAGTTTATATGTGGTCATGCATTGCCAACGTGGCTGCATTAAATGTACCAGGGAATTCCAACTGGGATCAACCCTCCCTCGGGCGAACCCCTAGGAATTTGACTTCAAATTCGCCACTGTGGGGGCGAAAACCATCATCAAATTCCCCAGGGTGTGGGCATGTATCTGGCCATTATATATTTTAAATATGTGTACTGGAAAGAACATTATACCATTAATCATCACAAATTAATTCTAACATGGACAAAGGTGAAAGTTTTTATTAGAGGAGCCATTAAATTTATGAATTATGTCATGTTTTGTTGTTGCTTTTTTTGCAGTCTTGTTTTGTTTTTGAGACAAATTCAGTAAAACAGGAAGCAACAACATTGCAATTCAATCATGACATAGGACTGCCTGCAGGCTACATTATCCAACAAAAACAAAGCTTACTATTTCTGCACCTGTAGTACAGATGTGAGATGTCTCCAAACTATTAAAGTATATATCATGCACTGAATTTCTCAAACTGATTGTGTATATATCTGTGTTTCACATCAAATGCAGGGCTAAATCAGTAGTGGTGGGGTATTCTATAAACATCCCCATTCAAGTTCAGTATAAGAACTTAAATTTTAACTTTTATACAGAGCAGTGTATGTATATAGTTTTACTAAATGTAAGATACCCTGTCCTTTACAAATATGATTTTGGGAATGATGTAGGCAGCCTTGGCCATAACACTAGGTACCCAGGGTTTTTTTCATGATTTTCTCTTGGGTCCATTTTTGCAGAGAAGATAGAGTTTAGCTGAACAGCTGGAGTGGCTGCACCTGTGGCTGCACCCCCCCCCCCCCCTACCGGAGGGCTGACACATGTACTCAATAAATGTAGTTGAGACGGAATGTGTTAAAGCAGGGGCACTAAGGGACACTATAAACTGGTTAAAGATGGTGAATGCATAGTTTTTCTTCTGTTGTGAGATGAATTCCAGCCAATTTTTTTTAATTGTTGGGTTTCCAACTGAAAACTAATTTGCGCACGTCACAAACTTAACACAAACAACTTCATTTTTACTGCACTAAAACTTTGGTGAGAACTGAGAAGATTGAGTTTCAAAACTCAATTCAAGATTGAGTTTTTGGGGCTGTTTAATGGCCCTAAAAAATCTCTGAAAAAAACCCTGGTACTGTAGGAAGCAATTTTGTATTGGAGGGGGGGTGGGAGGGGGTGATTAGTCAGGGGCAATCATTAGGTCATTATTTCCCACTCAAACTTTACAGATTATCGCTAGTTTACAAATTATTGGGGGGTGGCCCCAGCCCCTCCCCCTTGTCTATGGCCCTGCATGAATGTAAAGCTTATTTAGCCTGGTGATTGCCTCAGCTGCATTTTGTAGCACATTGACAGTACTTAACATGTTGAATATTCACTGTTTACTTTCTTAATATATAAATGTTGAATGGCCTAAATTCTTCTGTCTTTAATACATCTATCAATATTGATCTGCATGTTATCTTTGTTGTACGCATGTTTTTTGTTTCGTTGTTACAAACTATTAGAAATTATCTTGTATTTGTTCTGTTGTATTAAATTAAATTAAACTAAAGTCTCCTTGTTAAGAATCGAAACGTTCTGTTTATTATTAATATAGGATATAGCAGATATTGAATTCCCAAGTCAGGTTTTTGATCTAAGTTTTCATCCAAATCGAAATGTTATCGCCTCTGGTCAAATAAATGGTGAAGTTCACGTGTAAGACGCGTTTATTGTACAGTCAAACCTGTATTACACGACCATCCTTGACGAATGATGTGTTTCTGGCTGCTTATTGTCAATATAAGAATACGTTTTGGGCGTAGTCAAGTAACAATTTTATTTAAAGTACAGCCTAGACGGCTAGACCTATTTTACTTCAGCGTTTCCAGCGCTTTTTCACATAGGAAAACTGGAGACTAGTCAACAAAAATCCTGCCGAGATTTTGCTATCAATCCACTATAATGCCAATGACATCAACTGAAGGCGAAAAAACAGAAACAATGCAATAACAATTTTTAAGATGCATATTTTTTCGTGTCAAGATTATCAAGCGAGACATTTCATTCAAAAGCACCTGTAAATTCAGTGCAGCTGTTTAAAACAGGCTATAACTTAAATTGTACATGTCCAATGGGACTACGCGTGAGGTGGAAGTTTAAGACAGGTAGTGTTTAATATTAGGTTCGACTGTACCTAATGATAATCTATATAATAGAACTTTTCTTGCAACAGTGCATGCATGTCCAACTAAGTCGGGAAAATGTCTTAGGAGTAAAAATCAAAGAACCAAGCAAAAATCATATAAAATTTTGATTGGATTTCCACGACAGTCACAATAGACCTTTTCCTTTATGAGTGAAATTTTGATCTATAGACGAGTCTAGAGACAGCTTGAAAGAGCATCACAAAATTAGTAATATTCCGAAGTTTCGTTGCAAAATGTTGTAAAATGAGGATAATATAGCCTTGCGAAGTTTGCCGTTTTTCAGTTATTTTGTATAATTACAAATGGAAATTGATAATCAGTTTGATCATCTGATTATCAATTTCCCATTTGTAATGCAAAATGACTGAAAAACGGCAAACTTCGCAAGGCTATGTTATCCGCATTTTACAACATTTCGCAACGAAACTTCGGAATATTACTAAATTTGTGATGCTCTTTCAAGCTGTGATGAAATTTTTGTCCAGACTTGTATAGATCAAAATTTCACCCAAAAAGGGAAAGGTCTATTTGATTATTAAGAAGACACGACCAGAACGTCCTGCGGAACCTTGACTTAAGGTACGTTTACACGCTGCGATTTGTCTTGTACGATTCGTACTCTGACGTATGTAATCGAAAAAGCCAGTCACGTAAAGTGGTTGCATTTCAAGTTTTGCCATAAACTGAATGTGGCGGAATTGTGACGTCAATAGTAATTTTCATACGCCAGAATACGAATCGTACACAACAAATCGCAGAGTGTAAAACGTAACTTTAAATTTTTATTTTCCCTTTTGTATTCATTAGGCATAAGTTTGGTAAAGAAGGAAATACACTTTTAATGGAATTAAACCACCATAAGAAAGCTTGTCGTGCAGTCCAATTTTCTGCAGATGGCTTGTGTAAGTTTCTCCAAATTTGTTTGAATGCGTTTAGTTGTTTAAAGGCACAGTTCAGCCTTTTGATTGAAAAAACTTACTGGGAAAATCAATTATCTGACAATTAAGCATAATTCAAGATCAGCTAAAATTATGAGTTTACTGATCTTGAATTATGCATAATTGATTTTCCTAGTTAGTTTTTTCAATAGGCAATTCGTTGCCGGTTATGCTGAAAAAGTTCAATAAAAACTGCCGAAATAACCGAAATATTTGAATAGTTACAAGTATAAGCTATCACTCCGTGTTTACACGGCCACCATTTTTATTTTTTCAGCATGACCAGCAACACGATAACTTACTTCCCGTCATCCCCTGCACGCATAAACTAAAAGCTGGAATTGCCTATTAAAAGGGCTGAAATGCGCCTTAAAAACCATCATTCAAAAGGCTGAACTGTTTTCTCAAACCTGTCAACTATTATAACTAGACTTGATGACAGCCTCCAAAGATAAGTCCATCCAGGCTGTTGATATGAACACTGGAAGTGTTTGTCGTACGATCAGGAAAGCTCATGAGTAAGTGGAGCTGCATGCGTGTATTTTAGATTTAAATAAGTTAAATGGGGTATTGGATAGTTATTAAGATGCAAAATGTATGTAAAACTCAATGTACAAGGTGGGGGTGTTAATTCTTCCTTTGCATTTTAGTGTTGAATTGCGATGAGCATGGGCCATGGCTCAAAGGTGACCGAGGTGTGCATTTATGTCTCGCTGTTTATGATTTAGGGTCAGCGGTTAGGGTAAGGATGATTATTTCGATTATTAGGGTCATTCAGCATATCTGTGACAGCGACACATGAATCTATAACGGTCAACAAGTGAAAGTTACCGCTGACATCATTTAATGATACGACCCAGGTCTGATCACAAAGCACAGTTAAGGTGGATGGAAAACTGAAGTCCCCGGACCGGCGACAGGAGAGAACTAAGCACAACTACTTACATGGGTTTTCAAACACATCAAATCAGAGCAGGGTATAATTATCCGTCAAGTAACAATACCCAACCACTACCCTCAACTTTCAGTAGCATGCTTATAACCTAGCAGCGGTGAGGCACAGCGCACCAACTGTATTATCACGGATTAAATGTCCTCCTGGAAAACAAACGAATCTGAAGTGTTCATGCTTGTTTATCACAATGGAAATTTGTATGAAGTTGGGTATGCAATAATTTTGCTTTTGAATGTAAATTTATTGGAATTATTGTTCGCACTTGATCTGACGTAGTAGCTAATGCTTATTTACGAAATTGAATTACCTGTACGATAAATTGGTGTTGGTTTCTTGTCTGCGCTTGTCGAAATATATCTTAATTCATTATCTTTCAACGGCCCGTTCTTTAAAGGATTTGATGTAGCGGCAGGCAGTAGTGACTGTATCGTAACTAAGTGTTGTCTATCTCCCACTGTATCTATATATATATAAGACCGCTATAGACTATAGTCTTGTACCAGCCAAATTCGATTGAGTTGCTGTGACTACGTATCCACCGATTCCACCCGTAAATATACGATTACTGAAGACATTAATTAAACACGTTTTCTTGTAGATCTCCTATTAACTGTTTAAAGATTCTGAATCAAAATTTAATAGCGACTGGTGATGACGACGGTGGAATTAAGGTAATTTGACAATAATTATATTCTGCAGTTGGAAATGCCACGCAGAACAATGTGTTATTGAAGAACGTAAAAGGCAACAAAGTTAAGTTCGTTTAACAAAGAAGACAAATGAATACTGCCTTACTGAGCATTCTAGAAACTGAAAGGATGCATTGTATGTTGCAGAATGTTTCCACGAATGTTTCCCTGTCTGCCCACCTTTATAGTACCTTTGCTGGCGGAAACAATTAGATTTATTTCCTCGGTAGCGAAACAGCTTTTCAAGAAAATTCAGAAGCATACATTGTGTGCATGGACTCTCCCAATTGTGATTTTGTTTGAAGAAACAATGTTTCCTGGTTTGCCCACTTTTGGGAAACATGGCTAGGAAACGATGTTTCTTCATTTCGACTACACTTTACACTACGAAAACTAATGCCCAATTCGACCTGTGGAAATAACGTTAATCTGGATTAGTTTTCGAACTGTACACACACCTAACCTGGGTTCAACCGGGATTAGTTCTAATCCTACTTTAGTATACCCGGATTAGGTTGAACCCTGCTCCGCAAGAGGGCATAAAACTATACCTGGGTTAAAGTTTACCCGGGTCAAACCTGGGTTAGTTTTCGTAGTTTCCCAATACTGATAATTAAAAGTGTTATTTTGTAAAATGTTATCTATATTATTATATATAGTACATATCGTGTATAATCACATTCACCTGTGCGGTAATTAATTCTGTAAGTTTGACAGCGAAATCATCTCTCTATTTGGCAGTTTTGGGATACGAGAACTTCAAGCAGTGTTGGAGAATCTTCAGAAAATAAAGATTACATATCAGATATGGAGTGTAATAGAGACAACAGAACACTATTGGCAGCGAGGTAACGTAAGCTGGATACGCAGTACTGACATGCCATTGACCCGGTTTATACCAGAGGCACGTGATTCATTTGGACGAACTCGGACAAAGATAGTTCGTCTGACTAACAATTTACTGTATAAACGCAGCAACATGTTTGAATCTTTTCACAACACGAACTACTCTGTACTCTTAGACAGCTCGGGGACTTCGGTGGTGCAGTCATCAAAGCATGCACCTTTCACTTTTAAGATCCTCGGATCAGATCCTCGCTGCGGACCTGTGCCCTGCTGCGGACTCATGACACTTCCGTGAAAGGAGTCTGTCAACACTCTAACTAAAGTCCGAAGTCGTGGGTTTTCTCCGCGGTACTCCAGATTCCTTCCAGGGTTGGTTGGGATAAATCCCAGATTGAACTTTCCATCGTAGCTGTGCTCCGTGATCAAACATGAGTGATACGGTGGCAGTCAGAGATGCCCTTTCTAAACCTTTGACTCGATCAGGTTGAGCTGCGTTCATCATCATTCAGCTCAGCTGAGGGTAAAGATGGTTAACACACTTTTACTTTATACGTCTTACTTTGTAGTAAGTAGACATATAGTAGTGAAGACGACTAGTTCCTGTGCATAGTTCCTCTCGTATAAATCGGACCATTCAACACACCATTCATCACACCAAATAACCAGCTGCATTTACTGAGTATCTTTTAACTGTTGGATGTGCAACGTTACATTTTTCGTGCTTTCTTTTTCAATAAAACAATTCAAATCATAATCAAATTTTACGATTGCATGACAAGTGCTTTTGCTTTATTTTAATTTTTGCAGTGGGGATGGAACTTTATCAGTTTTTAACATCAGAAGAAAGAGGTTTGAAGCACGTTCTGAAAATCAGGAAAATGAATTGCTCTCTCTTGTTATTATTAAGGTGAGCAAACATATATGCATGTAGACTACAGTATGGCTGTATAGGGTTTCTCTTCTGAAATTCTCTTCTGAAGGGGGTTGTAAGAATCAAATAACAACTCACTGATTTATTTCAGTAATTTCTTAAATTACTGCCGCATTTCAGATTTCAAATCAAGCAGCAATGAAAATACGCAAAATTTACACATTTGCCTTTTTATGATAAACACAGACACGCATGGAAGTGTAACTCACCCGCCAGGTCACGCAACGAAGAAAAGAAAATAGGTTTGTGATTGGGGTGAAGATCAAGGAGAAGTATATTCGTGCACGAAACATCGGGATGTTACCAACGTTCAAGTGCTGTTGATCTCTCACTTTTCTTAGACTAAGTACACTTTGTCTTATCTTTAATTAGTTCATATTACTGCGCTTGTGATTCGAGTTTGCGGAATGACTTTTTTTCGTCGAAGTCTTTGAATATTTAAACAAAAGATTTTGCCTTCATGCAAGCAAGTTGTCATGTCCTGCCTGACCCACTCTTAATTTTTACTCAGACAAAAAGTTGATAAACTGTTAACCAATAAACGTTTCGATGTATTTTTAAAATTCTGTTCCGTAGTTTACCACGAAGTACATACCACTTCTTCAGTTCTAACATTTTTCTCGTATAGAATGGAAGTAAAGTTGTTTGTGGCACAAGTGATGGTGTACTGCATATATTTTCTTGGGATCATTGGTCAGATATTAATGATCGTTTTCCTGGTCATCCAATGTCTGTTGATGCATGTGTAGCTTTAACTGAGGATATCATTTGTACTGGATCAATGGATGGGATTATAAGGTAATGCATATATACTCCAGCTTTGGTATGACTGAGGTACATAGTCCATAGTCATAGATCTAATCGGCTAACGCATGTGTATACTCTTTGCTACTCAATTCAAGTTAATCTCATGCCTGCCTGGTTATGATAATATAGAGAGTTTAAGATCTACAACGCGGCCGGCTCGACGAACGCCTTCGAAACAAAGTGTGAATAATTTGTGGTTCCAGGGGTACTTTCAACGACTTTGTCGTTCTCAACATAACGTTAAACTAAGCATTATCACGTCTTTCAACTGAACGTAAAATCTTAAAATAACATTCTTACATGGGTCTTACATTCGCGAACACCTTAAATGGGAAGAGAATGTAAAAAACATCGCCTCACCCTTGCCACGCTCAGAAAACTAAAAAATTGTTTACCATTCAAAATCCGTAAGAACTTAGTACAGGCTCTTGTCTTATCAAAACTATACTATAACGACGTAATTTACCATTCACTGCCAGAGTACTTACAGAAACGCCTACAAAGGGTACAGAAAGCAGCAGCTAGTTTCGTGCTAGGTAAATTCGCTAGATCAGCTGACGTATTATCGTTAAACTGGTTGCCTATCAAGGAACAACGTGAATGGAACATTGTAAAATTAAGTTACAAAGCGCTTCACGATGAAAATTGGCCAAGTTACCAAAAACTACAATTGGTTCAACATTCTCGAGTTCTGAGATCAAGCAAAGGCTCTCAGCTTCAAGTCCCTTTAATTAACACATTACAGGACCAATCAGCACATCTTTTTAACCAATTACCAGAAGAAATTAGGAACTGCAGAGACTACAGAGTGTTCTACAATGAGACCAAGAATTTCTTAGTCTTGAAAGCATGATCAAGACTTGGATAATCTTAGAAAGAAATATTTAAATGTATATAGTTTCGTACAGTTTTGTTCTAACTTAGTTAATTCGTAATTCCGTAAGTAATATTTTGTCCTGTCGAACACGTTACATATTCAAAGTTATATTGCAGTAATATTCGTAAAATAGTTTATAGACTTTATGAATACTTTATAACTTATATAATTTGGTAAGCGAAGAGCCACTCTGTGGATATATTACCAATAAATCATTATTATTATTATTATTATCTTATTGCGATCCAATTAAGAGGCGTTACTTTTAAAAAAACATTGCATCGCTTCAGTAAGTCGAAGTTACATGTACCCGTTTACTATTTTTACGCTGTCGAGGACAACAACCAATACTATTATTCCTGGTAGGCTCGGCCAACTTCGTTCCAAAAACAGACCTGTGAAGCTCGGATATCTGCATTAAATATTCCACGGTTGTCTCAAAACCGTCGATCAGTCGTCGTTCATTATGAGATTGTTTATAATGTTCGCAATATCTAGTTTAATTATTTACGTTTAAAAAGTTTTAAAGTCCATTAATTCTGCCGGGTTTGCTATTGAATTGGGAAATCACAGGAATTCGTAAATCATAAATCGCCTTTTTCGCAAAACCAAAAACGGCTCGTGGGACGCGACAACGGAGTTCCGTAAATATGGATTATATATTGTATGCGAATCCATCATGCTTTTCGAGCTTAGAGATCGAGGGTTACCTATAGGACAACCGTAACTGCATTAGCTGTAAACGCATATGATAGGTTAGTGGTTAGACTGTTAGAATACTGTTACATGCACTGAGTTTGGATTCCATCCCCAGTTGGCATTCAAAAATGTTTCAGTGCTAGAAGTTGTTAGTAATATCACGAACATTTCGTTCTATTTCAGAGCTGTTGGTATTCTTCCTAATCGTTTTCTCGGAGTGGTTGGAGAGCATGGTGAATTTCCCATTGAACAAATACATTTGTCTCCGGACAGAAATCTATTGGCCAGTTGTTCTCACGATCAAAAAATCAAGTTTTGGGACGTAAGACATTTTAAAGAAGCAGCATTGAGCGAAGAAATACCTACGAAGACGAAGCCTACGAAATCGACAGGAACAGAAAATTTCTTTGAAGATTTATAGAATTGCTTCATTCCAATCGTTGTAACATTATCTATTTTCTCATCATCGCGAGAATTGTCATTAAAACTCGCACCACATGCATATAACCACAGATGTAACAGTGCGTTTGTACATAACATAACAATGCAATGGTATTATTCGTTCGCTGGATCATGAATCAGTTCGCTGTAATGTATTGTTATTCCAAGAATCCAATATACACTACAACATTTATTTTTCATGCAACACAATGGCGTGCACGCACACGCCAACAGAAAGGCAATATGTATAGAAATTACACGGTTCGAGAATTAATGACAATCACATGTTTGTTTGACGAAATATTTTTAATACCGCGAGTGCTATAATATTTCGCCAAGAAACATATAATAGAAACACCCAAGAAACATTGCATTAATGTACGGTACTCAAGGGAACATAGCAGTACGCGTCTTAGGCTATGTGCACACGGGCGTCGTTTTGCAGCGTTTTCAAAAACGTTTTTGTCCGTAAAATCGTTTTGACGCCGTATTCGCACTGCCCAAAGGAAAATATCTCGGATATATTAAATAAACTACAACTTCTGTTGTAAATTGATAGTGTTTGTATCCGTTTTAGCGTGAAAACACAAATGAAAACGCTCGAAAACGTCACCGTGTGCACATAGTCTTAGTGATCAATTTTAAGCCTGGTTCACACTACCAATTCTGTCGGCAATTTTTCTCCTTCTGGCAAATGTGATCGAATGAATGACATGCAAAAGACTTAGAATTGTTTACTTCTGAAAAGCGACTCTACACTTTTGTGTGCGAGTTCACTCATTTGCATCCGTCAAACACAAAATTGCTAGTGTAAACGAGGCTTAAAGACTAATTTTCAGTAAAAACTCGAGTAATTTTGATTTCATCTTATTTCCTCCATGCTCATGATTTCCTTTGTTTTTTAATGACTTCTTAATGAGAATTAGAAGATCAATACTGATTCTTCATGACTAACGAGTACTAAAAATAATTTTTCAATAGTTTATTATTTCCTGTCACAACTCAATAAAATACATACAGTCAATATTTTATTATCTCCTCCAACGAAGGTTCGGATCAATATTTCCTAGACTTATGTTCACATGTTCCTAAATTTTTAAGTCATCCATTTTCTCATCCATTGGTTGCTTTGCTTCTGATTTTCCTTTCTTTTTCTGTTTCTTGCCTTGTGCTTGCTCATCAATCGGTGCAGGATTGACAAATTTTATAAACTGTAAACTTGCTGGCATGTGACGTTTCAATGCTTCAGGAACCTCGACTCCTTCTTCAGTCTGATAGTTTTCCAAAATGGCGCATATTGTTCTTGAGATGGCACACATCGTGCAGTTTAACATGTGGCAAAATTCAGCCTAGACAAATACGATGTCAACAATATTCACATACGGTAAATCCTCTATTAAGTTTCTCTCGCAAACAAGCCCCCTTCGCTGACGAAAGTCCGTTCCCTTCTGGAGGAAACTTAATAAGCCACATTCACACTTTGCCCCACTCTCCCCTTTTACAACCACGAAACACACATGTGTCATGACCAGTTTTTTAATTGGCCAGGAAGTTCTTGTTAACTGGCTGTGTTTCGGCGACGTCAATAAGCACCCAGGGGCGGATCTAGGGTAAGTCCAATCAGTCGCGTGACTGACGTATTTTTGCAAAGAAATAATTAATTTATTATTTCGAAATTTGAATAATTAATTCCCGAATATAATATGAAATTCATATCATAGTCCAGTATACGTCTTTACGAGCTCAGTTTTGAATAAATATATGCTTTATCTAGAGCAGCGGTAAAACGCAAGAATCTCGCAGAATCGGGTGGTCGTTATGCTCATTTGATTGGTCGAGAGGTCATTTGGACTTATCTCGACTGATCTGTGGGGTGGCCGGACTGATTTGCACTTTAAGGGAGTCTTTTTCAGGCCATTTCTTTCCTTTGATTGGTCAATTTGAAAATATTGTGGGGTGGTCGGACTGAATTGCAACTTAAGGGAGTTTTTATGGGGTGGTCCCAGCCTAGTCCCAGTCGTTCTGAAGCAAGCGCGAGAAAAAACGTGGATGTAGTACGAGACTGAGACCAAGGTGTGACGTCACCGCTAAAGGTGCTTCAGAACGCCTAGCAGATTTCAGTATTTTTAATATGGCGGAAAATTTATATATACAAATAACCTTCTAAATACGACAATGTTCGTTGATCATGTTCGATGTCTACATAACCAAATTCAAACTGTATTAAAGATGTGCTCAATTTAAAAAAAATATATACAAATTTACGATGCAGAGTCTGAGCAATGGTCGTATAATCGTTGATGATATTTATATACTCGCAAGTTGTGATCAACACTAGACCATACTTGTATACACAACTACGCTTTCTATTTAACAGGTTTAAGCAGCTGAGGAGATTGGAAATATTTGCCTGACATGACTGTGTTGTCAAAACATTTTTAGTCAGAGACTCGGCATAATTTTCAAGCTTCTAGATAGCATGTGATATGGCTTTATATTTTAGTAAACACGAGTCATATTTAGCCCGTTATTCCATTCTGACCGTATGGTAGCGAAACGTAGCGTATTTCATTGTTCCGACAGCATTAGAGCAAAACTAATGACTCAATTATAAACGCAAAGGAAATTTCCATCATATTTTCTATTTACAAATGCGGTATGCTTGGTAACCAGGCCAGGGACCACTTTTTTGAAATCAGGGACCATTTTACCGAAATCTGCTAGGCTCTCTCGCTGAAGCGTTCCGCACAGCACACCCAGGCATAAAACGTTTAGGACTTATTTAAATATATCAAAGCAGCGAATAGAGAGAGAGCCTGGGGCTAGACTGATTTGCACTTTAAGGGAGTTTTTATGGGGTGGTCCGACTGATTTGCACTTTAAGGGAGTTTTTATAAGTCCATTTCCTTCATTTTGATTGGTCAATTTGAAATTATTGACAATTTCTATTGGTTCATTTTTTTGGACTGATTCGGACTTATTCGCGGCAGGGGATATCAGTCCTTGAAAATTGCGAAATTCATGCAAAGCAGTCCTTCATATTCCCGTATATGAAGGTTTTTCATAGTTGGGAAAATTATTTTACGATATCGAGTATTTATATGTACGCGGCCGATTTTACGAGACGATTTAACGGCCTTTAATAAACTTTGAATTGTCTCTGAATGAGGATTATTGTGGGGCAGCTAAGATATCAAGCGAGCAGCTTTTATAATGTTGTTCTGTTCAACAACGAGAAGGCACTAAGTTGGGACTTCTCTGCTACGTGCTTCACAATAAATCACAAAGATCATGGTCGTAATTTGGGTAGTAAAGCCAAAGGGAAAGTTTGCACTGCTATGATGTATGACAATATCCAAAATTATGAAACAGAAATGAATATATTGCAATGTATCTTGCATGATAAATGCGAAGTTGAAATATAACACGCTTTAATACATTTTTACACGCAATCGACTTGCAACTTACAATGCGCTTTCGGGCCTTACAGCTTTCCTGCTGTATTTATAATTTATAAATGCATTGTCCATTATCAAAAGGGCCAGAATAGCGCATTGGCATTTGAGGGTTAAAACAATATAATTTGGATGATTTGCATTGCATGAAAGATTTGCGATGAATATCGTTATAATATACAAGTGATATTTATAGCATATTGTAATTCATTGAATAAAAAATGCATTTTACAAAGTATAATTGAAATATTACTCTTTATTTTGCTTGAGAATTTTGATTCACAAACAGCGAGTTATATTGGATCGGCCATTGGTATCATATCACTTCAATTTGCGAAGGATTTCATGAGCCAAACTCAAAGGCTATTGAAAGTTGAAACTACATGATGTGTTTTGTAATATGACCCCCCGTTAGTAAATCTAATTCCGAGTACTGGGAGTAGGCACGTTTGTGAGATCATAAAAAAGCATGTGCTTGATGTACTTTATAATCTTTGGAATTCTGCAAAATCTCACCGCCAAAACGCTTGAAATCGCATTTCAGAGACTCTAGATTTCAAAATTTTCCGGGGGGGCATGCCCCCAGACCCCCCTAGCACGTCTCACGCCTTCGGCGTTCGACTTATGTTTGAAAAATCCTAGATCCGCACCTGGACTTGATTTATTGACTCAATAAATCTAGTCATTACACATGTGTTTCGTGGTTGTGAGAGGGGGAAGGTGGCTAGTGTTAAATATGGCTTATTAAATGTGTAGCAATCATCCTCTGTAGGAATCAAATAGAAACCTTAGGCTTCATTTGTAATTTTGAATGTTTGTAATAAACAAAAGCTCCGGGCACCTTCAGGTCCTATCTAATTGTGAAACTCTTTGAAGTTCACTGACCTCGCAGGAATGAACTTTTTACGGTTTTATATCTGCAGGAATTTCTTTCCATTGCGTGCGTAATGCGGTGTATAATGGCATACTGTACCTTCTCTTGCATTTTCTTAGTCTGCCCAAACCTGACTTGCAATCTTCTAGCTTGGTAATCAGTGCAGTTTGAACACGACACAAGTTCTCGGAATGCACCACTCCCAGGAAACCATGCTTCCAAATCATATTTCATCGCAGCTGCGTTGTTTAACTCGCCTTTAAATAAAGAAGAGGACGTTAAAGTCGTCACAACTGATGGGCTCGACCTCGAATTAGGGCTCAACACTATAGTGTAGGCGAGCTAAAAAAAAGAACACAAATTTATATAATTGAGGCACTGTACAAGAACCTACCTGACACGATGTTTACAATTCGATAAGGAATCCCCAAAGATTTGTTAAATTCTTCTGCATTTCCTATCATCTCATGAAACATCTGCCATGAAATACCGTCTTTTGGAGAACATATCACAAATTGCTCAACCTTGTTAAAAAAGGAACAACCTTTTAGAAATATTATATATACACAATGGTTTTGTTACGTTAGAAAATTGTAAGTCAACTACACCACTGCATGGTGTAACTTCCTGTATGCTCTGAAACAATTGACCATTTGCGTAATAGACAAAATTTTGATCTAAACAAGTCTAGACAAATATTTCATCACAGCTTGAAAGAGCATCACAAAATTAGTAATATTCCAAAGTTTCGTTGCGAAATGTTGTAAAATGCGGATAATATAGCCTTGCGAAATTTGCAATTTTCAGTCATTTTAGATT